TGGGAATACACGACATGCTCTGAATGGTTACCAATAAGGGGAAGTGAGGGAAAAACAGCAATGAAGCTGCGAGCTAAGTCCAACCACATTCAATAGACTCCTGTGAACCCAGGTGGAGACCTGGTTGGCTGGCAGTTTGGCAAGACCTGGGGACTCTTGGGCCCAGAGACAGTAACATAGTCACAGGGGACTAGAGTGGAGAGTGAAGCATCCAGCTGATAAGAAATGAGGGCATATGCACAAAAACAACCACACCTGCAGATGATGTCCACTTGCCCTGGCTTTGATGGCTGGATGATCAGGGCTCAACTAGAAGAAGAAAGAAGAGGGAAACAAGAGTAATCTAATACATTTTTATGAACTTGACTTACACCTATGGATGCAGTAGCACAAAAGAGGGAACAAATCCTTACAACGAGGATCATTCCCACCCCCTCAATACAAAGGGTAGACAGGGATGGGCAACTTGGACATTGGCTACCCAAAATGGGGGGCTACAAAGGCAAAACAGGGGGCTTACAAGCTTTCAAGAGGGAGCCTAGATCCAGAGGGCACAGAGGAAGGTAGAATCTCCACTAAATAGTATCCAATCTGACTGGGTGGGACTGATGAAAGGAGATGGGGATAGCACTCATGTGGTGCAATAATGAGTAATTGCTATCAGGACTAACTGTGAGGGTTGGAAATGCAAAGGTAGATGTTTTGTAGCAAAAGGAGGGAGGAGGTTGACTTTGCAGGCCATGAGCAGAGGTCCCTGGGACCATAAAGGGAAAAGAGTGGAGTCAGGACCCTACCTAGAGAAACAGTGACACCAGAGGAGGAGGTAGAGATGATGACATGGAGAGATGGAGGAGCTGGCTGGGGATTCTAGACCCAGAGAGGGAGAGGGGCTGTGTGCTGAAAACCAGGGGGCAGGCTTGCAGTGTATACCCTTTGGTTGGTTGATGATGCATGGAGGGGATTATAACCATGGCAATGTAACGATATACAATAGGCTGAATGTAAAGCTAATGTTCTGCTAATGTGATGTAAACTATCACATAATTCACAATAAAACAATTTAAAAAAAAAAAAAAAGACTACGTGTATTACTGATCGCCAAGACATGCTTTAATACATTTTGTTTGGCTAAACCCATGCATGTATGAACTGGCAATACTTTTTGACTTGCCTTTGAATAATTTGTTGAGAAAATAAGAACAATCAAAAAAAGAGTTCATATGCCCTCCTACCAACACTCTTGCCTTCATTCTTGTTACTGGGGGTAAACTGGCTCCTGTTCTATCTAAACCATCTCTTCCACTTTTATACTGGATCTCAGTGCCTCTCCTATTCAAGGACATTGTCCCAGCAATTCTCTCCCTTTTTCTGTTGGATCCATTTTCCTTTTCTTTGAATCAAGCCTATTAAGAAAGTTTTCCTAATCTTACAATCCTTCTTGACCTCATATTCCCCCTCAAGCTGCTGCCTCACCTCTGTTCCCCTTCAGAGCAAAGCCAATAAAAAGTCTGTATTTGCTATTTCTTTCCTCCTTCTCATTCTCTCTTGAGTCTATGTTCATCATGTTTTTGTCCTCACCACTCCACCAAAAAAGCTCAAGGCTAAAACCCTACTTTTATATTTTTTAATCTAATGGTCCATTTTCAGTCCTAACCTTAGCCAATGAGAAGCATTTGACAGAGCTGAGCTCTCCCTATACTTAGCTGCCAGGACCACATACTGACCATTCACTGACTCCTCCTATGATATCTCATCACTGGTTCCTCATCACCTTGACTCTGGGCTCAGTCCTTTGACCTATTCTCTTTTTTTTGAACTCAATCCTTCGTTCTATAGCTTTAGACGCTGACTGAATGCTGACAGTTCTCCAAACTAGATCTCCCTCTTGAGCTCCAGGCTCATTTGCAACTGCCTACATCTCTACTTCAGGAGCTCTGGTAGCGTAGTGGTTACAAGTTAGGCTGCTAATCTCAAGATCAGCAGCTTGCAACTACCAGCCATTTACACAGCAGAAAGATGAGGCTTTCTGCTCCTGTAAAGATTTACAGCCTCAGAAACCCTATACAGGGTCATTATAAGTCAGAACCGACTCCATGGCATATAACCACAACCATCATACCACTATCTGGATCTCTAATAGTCTCCAGCATAACATTTCCAAAAGTAAGTTCTCTCAGTCCTCACTTCTCCTACCAAAAATCCTTCTAATAGAAGATCCCTTCTTGAGATCTTCCTCGTGTCAGCAAATCGCACCTGAATTGCGCTCATGCAAAAAAAATTACTCCACTGCACTTCAAGACAGATCTTAAAATGTCCTTTTTAACAATGAATGTGACACCATTCCTCTTGAATTTGTTGTTCCCGGGCATACTAAACCATATAGTTGTTTCAAAACAGTCAGTACCAGTTCATTTCTGCTCACTACTCACTAATGGCTAGGATATTGGTCTTTGTGCATTCCATTTAATTTTTGACAACTACCAATTTTCCTAGATTTATACTTTGTACAATTCATGTTTTAATTATTAACAGATGTTTGCAATTGTTTCTCATTTTGAGTTGTGCCTCATCAGCAAATGAAGGTCCAGAAAGATTTACTCCATTCACGTCATCATGTGAGGAGGCAACTCTTTCCCAGTCATATTTTGAGTGCCTTTCAACCTGAGAGGCTCATCTTATGGCACTATATCTGACAATATTCTAGTGCTATCCACAATGTTTTCTTCTTCTGGTACTACATATGGAATGTTCCACTGCTATTCATAAGGTGTTCAGTGGCTAAACATTCAGAAATAGTCCGTCTCGCCTTCTTCCCAGTCTGTCTTAGTCTGGAAGTTCTGTTGAAACCTGTCCACCATGGATGACCCTGCTGGTGTTCAAGGAACTTTCCTTCAACCTGGTGCTCTGAATCTGGACTTCTAGCCTCCTAAACTGGTAAGAATAAATTTGTTTATTACAGCCATCCACTTATGGTATTTCTGTTATAGCAGCACTAGATAACAAAGATGGAATCTTGATGTGATGCTGTGGCTTAACTACTGGATTGCAAAGTCATTTGAACTGCAAGATCAACAGCTGCTCCTTGGAAACCCTAAACAGAGTCGCTCTGTATGGGTCAGAACTGACTCAACAGCACTTAATAACAACAACGAATAACAAAGACATTATCTATACTGGTCAGTAAAACAGCCTACACAGTTTTGCACCATTAAAATTGAGTTAAACTTGCCAGAATGACCTAATGATAAATTCTGAGAAGAAAATAAAATGTGCTTTGTTGTATGTCTGTTTATATCAGTATAATCAAGTCATGTCTAATTTATGGATTGCATTTAGTAAAGATAAACTGTAGTCATGGGGGTAAAAAAACATTACTCATCCATTTCTCTGCTCAGAGATCAACAAACCTTGTTGGGATGCCAATCAAATGATATCCCAAATCTGGCCATCTCTTACTATTCCTACTATGACCGCTTCCTGCTTCAAAGCTTCCATGATTCTCACTGAGCATATTTTAATACTCTCCTAATGTAACGTAGTGGTTAAGAATCGGGCTGGGAACCACATGTTCAGCAGTTCGAAACTACCAGCTTCTCCGTGGGAGAAAGATGAGGCTTTCTGCTCCCGTAAAGATTTACAGCCTTGGAAACCCTGTTCAGGGTCACTATGGGTCGGAACCAACTCGACAGCACTTAACAACAATAACCTAATGTAGTGCTGTAGGATAAGCACTGAAAAGCTAACCATAAGGTTAGTGGTTCAAATCTAGCAACTGCTCTTTGGAAACCTTCTGTAGGGTTGCTATGAGTTGAATTGACTTGACGGCACTTAACAACAACAACTAATCTTCTGGCTTCCTTGCCCTCCTTACTAGACAGAGAGATGCTTTACAAAACCCAACTCTACAATGGCTTCCCACCTCTGACAAAGTAAAGTCTTCCAGAGTCCCACAGGATCCAACCCTTTTTCCCCCGCCTATGGGTCTCACATCCTACTTTTCCTTCAGTTAAGGTAGCCTAGCTTTACCTCAATAAACATACCAAAACCTCCTTGACCCTACTCTTCCTTTTGGTAAAGACATTCTTCCTCAAATTTATACAACATGGTCTTCATTTCAGTCAGGTCTCTACTCAAAGTTCTCCCCCTCAGAACAGCTTTCCTTGGCCACCTTCTAAAATTGAATTCCTTGTCACTCTCATCCCTTTATTTCCCTAAATCTCCTTTTCTTTATTCAATAAGCACTTATTGAATTTATTCATCAGACTCACATAATAGTTTATCTCCCCAAACTAGAATAAGAATTGCTGTTCGTTGTTAAGCGTCGTTGAGTCAGTTCCGATTCACAGCAACCCGGTATAGGGTTTCCAAGAAGCAGCTGGTGAGTTTGAACCACTGGCCATGAGATTCAAACCGACCTTGCAGTCCAGTGCTTACCCTACAGCACCACACCAGGACTCACAAATAAGAAGAGCTAGGACTAAAGGTATGAGCATTTTAAAATTTGCTAGGTACTCCAGGAGTCCTGATGTGATGCTGTAGGATAAACACTGTACTGCAAACTTTGAGGTAAGCAGTTCAAATCCACCAGTCGCTCTTGAAAACCCTATACAGAGTCACTATGAGTAGAAACCAACAAGACAGCACTAAAACAACATGACAATTATAATTTATTAATTAATGTCATTTTATTATCAAAGTATTTCAGAAGATACCTGTAACTCAAAGGTGACAATCAAAGGACTACAGACTATAAATTAAGGCTCCCCAAATATGCCATTATCTCTCACAATCCAAGATCATATGATGTCTTCTTTCACTAAGAAAATATTTACAACCTTTAGAAGAACAGAGAAGCAACGTTACAAACCTAGTTAATGCTCAACTACTAAAGACTACTTTTACTATCTATGCTAGTACTGATAAACTGGGGGGTGTGGGGGGGGGGCAGGGATCAATCAGCTCTCCTGCTTATGTCCTAGAAAGGGGATTCTCATACATACCTCATCTCGTCTTCCACCGTTAAAAGAAGAGCTAAAGACTTTGCTGCTGCTGCCGCTGCTGCAACCCCTTTGAAGAGGCATCTTATTAAAAGTTTTGCTTTTCTGTGAATTGGAGCGACGGGACTGGTTGCTAAAATTTTCATTTTTGGGGAAGGAAGGTTCACGTTTACGATTATAACGCTTGGATCCATTTGAGTTCTTTCCATCTGAAAGCAAGAGGAAAAAAAAGAGAGAGAAAATTAAATAATCCATGTTACCTGGCCAATTTTTTTCTCCACCTCCCAGCAAAATCATATTTAAACAGGGTGGGGATGGGCACTTCTGCATCTTCTATGATCTGGGTTTTGTCCAAAATACTAGTGCTTTAGGTAGGACATAACAATCCTTGTTTGTTTTTAAATGATGAAGCCTAAGGGTTCAATCACTCAGCATATTACAGCACTGCTATCGTTAGGTGCAGTCTAGTTGGTTTGGACCTAGAGCAGCCCTATGTACAACAAAATGAAAGACCACCCTGTCCTGCACCATCCTCACAAATACAGCATAGTGTTCCACTAATAGATGTGTCTCTTCTCCTCTGCTCTTTCACCTTACCAGACATATTCATAAGGCATAACAGAAAAAGCAATCTTATCTTATAGGGCAAACTGAGAAGCTATTCAACTGACAGAACAAAAGGCAAGATTGAGATTTATAGGTTTATTGTATCAGCATGTTGTCACATCCCTCTAAAAACTATTTATTGCTTTTTCCTCCAGTTACAAGTATACAGACTCAATTTTTAAAATCTGGAAGAATGTAAAGTTGTCAGTGTTCATATAATACCAACTTGTTAAAGTGTTTCATATTCTTTTAGCCTCCATTTTACACACTTACCATTTGTCTTATCCACCACTCCTCTGTAACTGTGTCCTTAACCAAAACTGCAATTAAACATGCAATCAATATACACTGATAAGTACTGGTGCTTGGAATGCAAAAGCTTGAAACAAAGAAGGAACAGGCATAAAAAAAATTTAGGCCATAATAATAGGAAAAAGACTCTGGAGATCCCATAATAGAATTTCAAAAGACCAACAATTTATTCATTGCAAATACCTTTTTTTCAGCAACATAAATGGCAAATGTACAAGTAGATCTCACTAGATGGAACACACAGGAATCAAATAGACTACAGCTACACAAAGAGATGCTGAAGAAGTTCAATACCATCAGTTAGAACAAGGCGGAGCGCTGACTGCAGAAAAGACCATAGAGCTTTATACACTGACTGAATACACTTACAGTTCTCCAACCTAGATCTCCCTCTTAAACTCCAGACTTATTTGCTACTGCCTACCTACACCTCTACTTAAGGAGCTCTGGAGAAAGAGAAAGAGATTTCCATTAAGAGAACTCAACCTATCAAGGGTTATTTTAGCTAACTATTTTAATAGTTTGATAGTGGATACAATGTTTTACATAGAAAACTATAACAAAACAAAACAAAAAAAATGGGTGGGGAAAGAGACTCTGAAATCTGCTCTTGAATGTAGATAACCTAAAGTGAAAGAAAGAAATGATGATGTAAAAGAGCTCAATAAAAGATTTCAGAAGACAGCTTACAATGACAAAGTGAAGTATTATAATAAAAGATGCAGAAATCTGGAATTACAAAGTCAAAGGGAAGAACACCTTAGCATTTCTCAAGCTGAAAAACTGAAAGAAAAATTCAAGTCTCAACTTGAAATATTGAAGGATTCCATGGGCACAATGAACGAGCTCTGGTCGCATAGTGGCTATGAACCGCAAGGTCAGCACTTCGAAACTACCAGCTGTTCCACAGGAGAAAGATGAGGTGTTCTGCTCCTGTAAAGATTTACAGCCTCGGAAACCCTGTACAGGGTCACTATGAGTCAGAACCGACTCCACAGCACACAGCCACCACCACCATGGGCACAATGGAGTCCTGGTGTGGCGCTGTAGGATAAGCACTCAACCACAAGGTTGGTTTATGCTCACCAGCTGCTCCTCAGAAACCCTACACAGGGTCACTATAAGTCAGAACAGAACCGACAACACTTATCACCAACAACACGGGCAAAATACTGAGTAATGCAGGAAGTCTCAAGCATATAGTAACTGTACCAAAAAAGGTCTACATTCAACAATTTAAGGAGGTAGTAAATATTCAAAAATCAATGCTATGACTTCAGCAAGATGATCGACTAGGCACACACTACACAGACCCTCTACAACAAAAATACGAGAGACCAAATAAAACAGACACAGATGAAAATTCTGACACCATGAACTTCAAAAGGTGGATGGAGTGCTTGCCAGGAGGAGAGGCTGAGCAAGGGACAGCGAGAGAAAGCAGCTGACTGGTGAACAGCTGGCCAGACTCGGCTCCACCATCTTGTGAGCAGCTCTGGAAGCAGAGGGAGGCCTGGCAAAACATATTCCCATGGGTGACCGATAAAGTGCAATTTCGTCTTTTTTTCCCAGCTCCCCTGGTTACCATTAGTACAGCCAGCTGCCACCCTCATCCACCCCCAGTGCAGTCCCTGCCCTCCAGAAGTTCAGAGCCATGTGGTTGAGTGCCACACCAGTGTGAGTCAGGGGCTGGTTGTGCCACTTTGGTGTCTGGATTCAGGTGGGCTTAGCTCCAGACCTACAAACACCAGAGTCATAAGACCAGCATTTAACCACCCTGCCCCTAGCTTCCCTGTGGTCCTAATAGACACTGAAACCAGTTTCATCAGGGCCCCCATGAACTACTTCCGGATTGAGTGCCCTGAATACAGAGAATACTGAAGCCAACAGAAAACTCCATCTAGGGCCACAAGCCTTTCACAATCACCTCAGGAACTTGAACTAAAGGAGACCCCCTACAGATTTCTCCCCTCTGGGCCCAACAACTACACTGTTTTTACAAAAAAAGGACAACCTCACAATGCCCTAAGACAACAGACAATTTTAGCTTACATGAAGAAACAAGAGAAAATGGCTCCAACAAATGACCAAGATGCAGTGCCAGAAGATGTTTCTGAGGAAGAAAAGGTAGTAAAATAAACTGGGAAAAAAAAATGTTTTTCAAAAGAATTAGGTACCATCAAAGATAAACAGAAAAATCGAGAAAAGCAAGGAGAACACAATAAAAGCTTTACAAGAATTCAGGAAAACACTACAAAAACAAACCGGCAAAATACATGCAAATTTTCAAATACAAAACCTTCTATTAGAAATCCCTAAGATTGATTATTAATACTAAGATCTCAGAAATGGACACTACGATGAAAGGGCAAACAAGTAGATATGAAGCAATGGAAGCCCAAATTAGTGAGCTCTCACTACCAGTATGCCAAAAGAATGAAAAATCCAAAGAAAGCCTAAGAGTTATGCAGGATACCATGAAGACAAGCAACTTACAGGTGATCAAAATTCCAGAACCGAAAGAGGCAAGCACAGAGAAAATGGTCTAAGAGTTGTAGGAAAGAAACTTCCCTAACCATCATTAAAGAGAAGATAAGCATACAAGAAGCTGAACAAACCTCAAACAGGATAAATCCCAAAGAAAACCACCAAAACATATCATAATCAAACTTTCCAAAATCAGAGACAAGGAAAGAATCCTGAGAACAGCTCAGGAAAAACAGAAAGTTACCTACAAAAGATAACCAGTAAAACTAAACTCAGAAACCATGCAAGCAAGAAGGCAAAGAAATGACATACATAAAACTCTGAAAAAAAGACTGCCAGCCAAGAATCATACACCGGCAAAACTTTCTCTCAAACACAACAAAATGAGGACATTTCCAGATAAACAGAAATTAAAGGAATTTGTAATGACCAGACTAACTTTGCAAAAAATGTTAAAAGATGTTCTTTGGATTGAGAATTAACAACAGCAGACAATAATCTGAGATTACCATAAATGGCAATACCACCCAGAACTCAATCCAGGTATAGAAGTATTTAAAGTAAAATAAACCTACAAGACTGAAAATATAGAACCAGACATATCAATGCATAATGTAGCAAAAAGAGGGAAAAATGTAGATACAGAACTTACAAATAGCAAGGAAGTCAAGTAAATTTCAAGATAAAATAGACTGTTTTAAGCAGGCAAAAAAAATTAATAAATTACAGGATAAACTCAGAAAAAAAAATCCACTTGAACATTAAAATACACAAAGAGGAAAATCAGAAACATTTAGTAAACATTAACACAACAGGAATGAAAATGACAAAAACAAACAAACTCACACACAAAAAATGAACTTAGCATAGAAAATCATGTGGAACAACAAAATCCAGCAGCACCACACACACACACACACAAAAAAAAAAACCCACACAGAAAAATGACAATAATCAATTCACGCCTATGATAATTACACTGAATGTATATGGACTACACGTACCAGGCAAGAGACATAAATAGCAGAATGGATAAGAAAGCAGGATCCTTCAATATGCTATCTAAAAGCAACACCAAAAAGATAGAAACAGCCTAATGACCATCAACAGAAGAGACAAACTTTGGTACATGCACACAATGGAATACTACAAAACAGTTAAGAATAATGAATCTGTGAAACACCATACAACATGGTTAAACTGGGAGGAAATTATCCTGAGTGAAATTAGTCAAACACAAAAGGGTGACATTGTAAAAAATGTTTAAAAGTTTTCTTGATAAGGAAACAATGTTACTCTGTTACAGTAACAATGGTTACTGGGGAGAGGGACAGGGAAAATTATTCAAGGGCTTAAAGGATAGATACATGTTAACATGGGTGACAGGGCCGGCAACATACAATAAGAGGGAGTTTAGCAGAGAAAAGATGAAGGTAGCAAGAAACACAGGAAGGAAAGCAATAGTTAAAGGGAAAGTACAAGGAGGTGATTACAACCACGCAGTGAAGTCCAGTATATGGTCTGCTGAATGTAAAACTCATAATCTGCTTGCTCTGTAAGTCTTCACTCAATTCACAATAACAAGGTTTGTTTTTAAAAAGGTGGTATTTAAAAAAAAAAAAGCCCAAATTGCACTAACGGAAGGGGGCGTGGGTGGGGTGTAGAGGTAAGGCTCCAGGAATTGACAGAATACAAACTGAAATAAAAAACAAAAAACACTGCAACACTGGAGGTGTTCATTAATCTGTATCAGGAAATTTGGAAGACTGTCCAAATGCCTACAAAAGATCCATATTTTTGCCCA